CCCCCCCCCTCTCTCTCTCTCTCTCTCTCTCTCTCGAGGTGTTTTCGCGTGAACACCTGCGGGAACTTTTCGAAAACGACGGTCTATTCGCCGGACGGGAGATAATCGATAACGGTAACGAAGTAAACGTCAACGCCCCAAAGTTAACATATTCGGTAGTTAAATTTGAGCTCCGATCCGGCAGCGGTTAGAGAGCGGATTTTGGAGTTGCTGACAGAATTAGTAACTTCTTCGTGCGATGAACTTTGAAATTGGTTTTACACAGGAGAGCCCCTCGAAAGAATGTACTTCCCGACTGTTTTGACTCGCGAGTAGAGCGAGATCGGGTCGGAAATAACTGCGGATGTGATACCTGGCGCGAGCTTTAATGACCTCGCGATAAGCCGTCATTTAGCAGCATTTCGCGATCGTACATTTACTTCGTCCTTCACGATCTGCGTCGCGCGCAGAAACGATATTTCGCGAGCTCGTTGGCTTCGGACAAACCACAAGCGCTCGCACGCTGCGAGCTATTGAACTTGGCGCGCGTCTCCTTCAACTCTCGCGTACGAACGACGATTCGATTTCGACTGCCGCGCGAACTCTCGGGGCCACGTGTCCCGCGCTTTTCTCCGCCGTTATCAATAACTTCGCGCCATTTCTGTGGAATGTAAAGTCGTCCAGACCGATTCGGGAAGAGACGAGATCGTCTTTGGACTCGCTACTCGGTTACGAGCTGCGTTCTGTGATACAATTTGCGGCACGGTTCGAACGTTCCTCGCTTTACTGTCGAAACTCTCACAAGCCTCGGCAAGCGGGAACTAATTTTGCCGGAGTGTAACTCGCCACTAAGACGCGCTTTGTTGCAATGCGCTTTGGGCAATCAGAGTTACATTCTCACGCAGTTTGCGAGTCGAAATAATTCCTCCTGCACATAATTCTCTTATGTTCTCTCGTGTTCAGCTTGTGGAAGAGGAGATGTTTTCCAATCCTCAATTTACAAAATACGTACTTGTGTGTATGTAAATATTTAGTAGACATTTATAGAGTCAGACCTTAAATTTAAGATCATCTTAAGTTTATTCTCAAATGTTGTAAGGATTATTTCATTGACTAAAGTGCATCTGAAAATGAATTTACGACCATCTTAAATATACACCGAGGGAAAAGTATTAGAAAATTTATTTGTGGGATAAAAGTTCATTCTACAGAAATACATTCTATTTGACAGAAATAAATTTGCTTTCACAAACTTTACGACCCACAAATAAATTTTCAAGTATTTTCTTCTCAGTGTAAGATCGGACCGCAAATATATCGGCCTTAATGACGATTTCACATTACTCTCTGTACAATTGTTTAACCGCGTGAGCCGGCGTGTTGATCGGCGAGCTGAACCCATCGAACATTTGATTTACGATACAGATACACAGAGGGGGCAGTACGAACGATAAAATCCCGAGGTCCCAATTGTCAATCGCGACAAATGGCAGTCTGGTCTGTCGTGGAATGTGACGTTTAATTCGAGATTCGGTCGCGATACCGCGCGACTCCCCCGTTTCATAAGTGGCTATAAATTCGGCCGGCGCTCTTTGTACTTGACGTCGATCTACGCGTCGCGCGTGCACGCGGGTCCCTCTTTCTCTGCACGAGGTACTTTACGGGCGATATCGCTTTTATGACGCGTCCCGCGCGCAGTGTGTGATACTTTTATCTGGGAGGGTGAGCGATGCGGCATGGGGCGGCGCGGCGCGGCGCGCCAGGCCTGGTCGGACTTTGTGTACGGGGTGAAAATCGAATTTTGCCGACCGTGCTTCTCTCGTCGCGTCTGTCTTTCGACAAGGCACTTTTAGGAGAATCCCTCGGCGATCTTATGTCTCGCCGCGGTACGAGTTACGCCCGCTTTCTGCATGCCGATCTATCTCTCCTCCGGCTGCTCCGGGAGAACGAAGGAGAGGACGAGCCATCAGGAGAAATAATCGCCTTGCATTTTATGCTGACGGATATCAAGCGTTCGACCGACCGACCGCCCGGTCTCTCTTTCAATGAACTTGGCAGGGATCCTTTTTATGAGGGAAATTGCGACGGGGACACAATCGGGCACTCGCGGATATTGGCGAGTCCGTTCATTCATACCGTTGCTTTAAATGCGCTGATCCGAGATAAAAGCCTGCAACGCCGGCCTCTCACCCGCTTTTTTTCAGTTCACCGGCTTTTTTTCTTCTCTTTATCCCTTTACGAGAGAGAGAGAGAGAGAGAGAGAGAGAGAGAGGGGGAGAGAGCTGCTCCCTTTCCTTCGCTCTTGGGCGCGCGTTTTTTTCGACGTGGAAGAGCACTCCAACGCGACGGGATTTCCCGGCGAGCCCTCGCCTCGACCTTCGCGTCTGATACTTTAGTGACTCTGCATAAGTATAAATATCGCATGAGCCCCCGCGTTGCTCCATCTTTCTGTCGTCAGGGCGTTTTAATGCGAGCTTGGCGCGCGTTACGATCATCCGGCGTGTAGTACCTCCTGCAAGACGACAGCCGTTACTGTCGTTACCTCGACGATCCGCGCTATTGACGTTATTGACGTCACACCGGCTTGTGGTACACGCGGCGACCTTCTTCCGTAATGCCCATAACGGCCGGCTTGACTCGAAAGAACGGATCTCGAGGAATTCGCTGCGCGGCTGTGCGCGCAAATTGAAATCCCGCGGAGTTTTCGCACGTGGACAGAATCTCTTCATGCGCTCGCTGCGCCGAGTGAGGGTAGATTCCGTGCGCGCGATTTTTACGCGCAACATCATGCATAACACATGCCGAAACGACTCGGCTTATGCACATCACGGTCTTGCGTCTTGCAAGGCGACGAAAGAGGCTCAATTACGTTACAAGATTGTGTCTCTCAGTCTCTCAGTTCGGAGATTCAGCAATCTCTGCGGCAGGAATGTCTCAGTTGCGTAGGAGTGCGTCGTTTCTGCGGGTGACACACATTTTCCGGGACAATACGTGGAGGCAGGCAGAGAGAGAAAGAGAGAAAGAAAGAGAGAGAGAGAGAGAGGGAGAAAGAGGGAGCGAAGTACGTGTGTTTTCTACGACGTCGGCTGCGGCGGCTGCGCTCATAAACCACGTTGTCAAAAGTGAACGGGCAAATGGGACTCTCCTTTGATGTTCGTGTTGTGAAACGTCTGGTCTCTCTCATATCATACGATCCGATACGTGACACATCACGCCCCCCGATGTAACGAAGCGAAAATCGTCACGGCAGCTGAACGCGTGCGAACGTTTGGAGCGCGCAACGCTCACGGACGATTACCGCCTTTGGCGACAACGAGAGAAAAAGAAAACAGGAAGGGCGAGAAACTTGCGACGCGGCGAAATTACCAAAGTTCGCTAGCCCTTGAGCGGTCGAATGCTCTCGAGCTGCATCGTATGCACGGCTTACAAATACACGCGACACTGCGACTCTTAAAGAGAGACGGACGTACGTATGTGTGTATGTACGCGCGTGTAATTGGCATCTGACGTAACTGGCATCGCGTAATGCCGGGATCAACTTCACGTAACGGGACGCGAGGTGACGTAAAACCTAAAACACGTTGTTTTATTTGCGGCTAATTACGATCAACTTTACGGTGATTGTAATTTCAAAACAAACCTCAAACATCAAATTCACGTCACGTCACTTTACGTACCGTTACGTCCCGTTACGTGAAGTTGATCGTAATCCCGGCATAAGTCTCGATCTACAACAGGTGTAGTAAGCTTTAAGCTTTAAGAAATTGACCAGTCATAGCCGAATTATAGAAGAATAATCAATCGTGATTGGTTAATTTCTTACGGCTTAAAGCTTACTACATCTATTGTAGATCGGGACTAAAGGGACGTTCTACATTGGAAGTAAGTAGGAAGTAAGAGTAAGAAATTGACCAACCATAGTCGAATGTGAGAAGAATAATCAACTATGATTGGTCAATTTCTTATTCTTACTTCCTACTTCTTACTGCTTACTTCCAATGTAGACGTCCCTTAAAGCGTCTTCTACAATGGCAGTAGGAGTAGTAGTAAGAAATAAGCAGTAAGCAAATTGACCAATTCCATTCTCACGTTTCAAAAATAATCGATTGTGATTGGTCTATTTACTTACTGCTTATTTCTTACTACTACTCCTACTGCCATTGTAGAAGACGCTTAATAACATTGCCGGCGTATTTTTCGTACCGTGCATTTCTGTTTGTGAGCAGCAGCCGAACGTCGCGCGAGAGAAACCCCCGTTTCAAACAATTCATTCCATGGAGATCGCGCGACACGGCTTTCGAATTTCCGCAGGCAAACAAGTCGGTCGAGATACGCCAATTAGAACAGGTACAGCTAATGACAATATTGAAGGACAGGGACATGCGCTTTCTCTATTATACGGCACTTCAGAGGAGGAGGAGAAACAAAACGTTGTAGGAGAAACAAAAGAGAGAATCAGACGTGTCAGATGAATGAAAGGACGCGGATACGTTGGTTTTGCGATCGCTCTTCTCTTCCGTCACTCTCTTCATCAACTGAACAATTAGACAAGGAAAGCATCTTACTCTCTATTGCCTTCTCTTACTGATGTTGACTTCAGCATTATTTCATTCATCATCCCTTCTACAGTAATGTGCAATCTATTCTACGTGTCTATGGCCAATGTCGCGTTGACGCGATGAAGGACGCGGAAGTTTCGAGCGCAACGATTTAATCCGCACGCAAAATTCTCAGGGGGGAGAGCGGATTATCCTCTCGCCCCGGATCATCCGAGCTCCCATTGGTTGGAGTGAACTTCACCGTCAACGAAACACTCCGGGGCCTCGCGCGAGGTTTCCAAAGTTCACGCGGGTAATCCAGTGATAAGCCACGATGACGTATCGCGAGGCGCGAAGTTTACTAGAGACATTAATTTTACCGCGACGTGTGTACAATGACCGAAATTTACTGTTAACGTGATATTTCCCCCTCGTTTACAATTAAATCGATCAGCCTCGGCAAAGCGGGCGCGCGCGAAATTGTAGGTAGGGTTTGCTCGCGCACCGAATTCCGCTGGCCGAGTGATATATCGCCTAGAACGGGCTTTAATCAAGACCAGCCCTTGGGCACGTTTTAGAACACATCTTTGCGGGAGAGAGAGAGAGAGAGAGCTTAATAGGGCCTCTGCACGTGGCAGTGATGGTAACGGGTTGATATTACGGTCACGTGAATGTGACGTAGAGATCGGGACACGTGCCAAAGGGCGGCGTGTGGAAAAAAAGAGGAAGCGGCGCGACGTGCGTCAGCCAAAGAAAAGCAGGAAAAGCGACGAGCAAGACGAGAAAGAAACGGTGAAAAGAAAAACAACAACAGCGCCAGAAAGAGATAGAAAGGGAGAGCGAGCGAGTGAGTGAGCGAGAGAGAGAGAGAGAGAGAGAGAGAAAGAGAGAAAGAGAGAGAGAGAGGGGACGATATATAAACATAACGAAGCGAATTATCGGTATGCTCTTGTTATTTCTCTCGTATCACCTTGTACACAGCGCCGCTGCCACCCACGCCAAGAAGCAAAGAATCGTCGCTCTCGCCTTCGTGCATACGTATCTGCGGAAAAGAAGAATGGAGAATTGGGTTAAAATCTTGCGCGCGCGCGCTTGAACGTGATTTTTAATTAGCTCTCTCCTATTTACTCTGTAAACTTGTCGACTCCCTTACCCGGCCCTTAACGGCTCGCAGATGGCGTAATATCGCTCGAAGCTGATGGCCAAAATCGTGAGAACCGAGGCGTGAGCCACTGTCAGCTCAACGAAGGGGACGGCTTTACCTGAAAGCAGAAGGGAATTTTTCATCTCTTTCTTTTCAGCGTTGCTCCGTATTATCTTTAAAATATGCGAGCCGGTCTCGCGAGGGCCGTGGCAACTGCAGGGAAATTCTGTGTTTCTTCAACCTGACGAAGTAAAGTGTACACGTAAATTTCGTCGAATAAGTAACAACATTCGCCCGACGCGACTGACGTCGCCTTTTTCATAAAACATGAAATCTTAAGTTTCGGAACCCCGGAACTTCCGATTACTTCGGCTTTTCTCACAATTAGTTTCCTCCTCCTGTCATAGTTGCCAAGAGTAAGAAGCAACGTTATGAAAGTAAAATGCGAAACGCCATGTGGAAGACCGTCAAGTTTGCGCGGCGGCGCGAACCTCGGGGTCTTGTTTTACGAAGGCAAGACCTGCTTCGGCGGAAGCTTCATCATTTTTAAAAGTCGCGGCCACCGGTTTACACGGGCTTCACGTCTTACACGGATTTACTTTCGATAAATCCGGTTATGGATCACGTCGACGAGAAAGAAGGAGAGAACTGCTCCTTCTTCGCGCTCATCCGATAAAAATCGCCTTTGTATAGATGCGGGACGTATAATTCCCAAAAGGAATTTGATGAAACACAGCACGGCAATATACCACCGCAACCCCCTGGACATTATTATCCCCTGTAGGCGCACCTGCTCCCCCCATTTATTCCGTGTCCACCTACGCGAGCTACAAAATCGTCCATTACGTTGACGTTCTGAAAAAAAGGAAGCAGAAACAAGGGAGAGATAAGGAAGGAACAGAGGAGAGAAGAAAGCGCGCGTCCTCCATACAACTCCTTCCTTTTGGTCTTGCGCGAGCGGCATACAAATATCTCGGCGGAAAATCCAACAAGCAACGAGCAAATTCATGGATATGAAGTGCGCACGCCGCTCTTTGGGCGCGTCGCTTCCGCGAACTTGGAGTCCTGCAGTTAATTAACCGCACGTTTATCCTGACCTTTGACGTTTTGACGTGCGCCAAATACGCACGATCGACGGCCGGACAGTCTCGACTGCGGATGATAATATACAGATTTCACGAGACGAATCGCAGACGCGTGTCGCCAGGCGCTCCGGGACTCGACATAATCCGCAGTTAATTCGGGGAGGAGTGTTTCACACCCCCTAGCCTGCTGTCGTCCGGAGTGGTTTTATAGAGAATTGCGGGAGAGTAAGGGGAAATTAATAAAATCTCTTCTCCATCCCCGATAATTCGCAGGATAATGTTGTAAATGTCCTCGCGCATGGACTCGCCTGTTATAAGTGAATTTCACGAATCGACGACGCGGGGGTGAAGAGTCGCGGTAGTCGCCCTATCCTTTCTTTCTCTCGCCGAGGAGATCCGCCCTTTGCTTATCCTGATATATTATTTGTCCGAGAAACGCGTGTAAAGCTTGTTTATCGTGGCCAAGCTATTAGGTTTATACGTTCGAGCAGTTTTTGCCTTCATAGACATCTATCCGCGCGGAGGGTTATTTCCACAGTCGATTATCCACGGCGCCGGCTTCCATAATTCAGCGCATCTTTCCTACGCTCTCTTTCTCTCTCTCTCTCTCTCTCTCTCTCTCTCTCTCTCTCTCTCTCTCTCTCTCT